GAGAGAGAGAGAGAGAGAGAGAGAGAGAGAGAGAGAGGGAATATGAAGAATATGAGAGAGAGAGAATATGAGAGGGGGGAGAGAGAGAGAGAATATGAGAGGGGGGAGAGAGAGAGAGAATATGAGAGGGGGGAGAGAGAGAGAGGGAATATGAAGAATATGAGAGAGAGGGGAGAGAGAGGAAGCTGCTAAATGTTCTAAATGTCATCGGTTGAGTTCGGGGCTGAGCCGAACGAGCGATTAAGTGTTTTGTTATTGCTAAGCAGCAGACAAGGGTCAGCGAGACTGCAGGGACATGAAAAGGAAAAAAAGAAAAATTCCAATAATACTGAGGTTGGCTCATAAAGTGTCACAGTGCCACGCCGGTCTGCGGGTCCGTCTACGAATCCCACGTACGCCGCTCATTATGTCCCTTGTCTAATGTTGACGGCGTGCAGAACGACGTGATGATAAATTGGTTAAACAGGCGCTAGACTTACCACTCCTTCCGTGTAAGGACGGCAGCTTCCAGCATTCAATGATACGGCCGAACGTCGGCTCTTTTTATTACAACGCGAATTTCACCGGCGATTCGGCGTAAAGTTATTGACATGCCAAATTTTTCTACATTTTCAGCGTTATGGTAAATTTTGGCGACTGATTTTGGCGGTGGTGATGATCGGTCATTTTATTTCCATCAATGATTCTTTAAAGAAAAAAGTTAGATACCCGGAATCTTTATTTTAATATTTATTACAGGAATTTGTATACTTTACATTCACATCAGACCCTGCAGGTCAAGAGGCTTACAATCTACAGTATACATACCATACATATATATATATACACACACACACACATATATACATACACACATACACATACATACATACACACACACATATCTACACACACACACACACATATATACATACACACACACATATATACATACACACACATATACATACACACATATATACACATACATATATATACACACACACATATACACACACACACATACACACACACATATATACATACACATACATACACACATATATACATACACATACATACACACATATATACATACACACACACACGTATATACACACACACACATACATACATACATACATACACACATATATAGACACATACACACACACACATATGCATATGAGGGCCAGTATAGACAGAAGCCACTTATCCTACCAGCATGTCTTTGGAGTGTGCAAGGAAACCAGAGTACACCCACACCAGCACAGGGAGAGCAAGCAAACACCATGCAGGTAGTGTGCTGGTTGGCATTTGAGCCAAGAACCCCAGTGCTGCAAGGCAGGAGTGCTACCCACTAAGCCTCTGTGTGTTATAGTCCAAGCTTCTATGTGTCTGTGGCCAGGGTCACTGTGACTATGTAGCTCAAAATTGGGCTACAGGATGTCACAGAGAAGGGCACCTCAGTTAATAAGGTGCATGGTGGAGCTCAGTTATGAGGAAAGAATAAAGTGTATCTGGACCCGAAAACAAAGCTTGCCAGTCCTTCGATGTGGTGGCTGCATTATTTTTTTTCTTTATTTTCTTCTGGTGATCCTGCCAGTAACACACTTCCTGTCCCCGGGTGGCTACACTCACCCCTTCGCTGTAGCTATGGAGGGAGCCATGGTTGTCACACAAGCTAGACAGGCTACTTTACCAACTGTTGCATATTCACAGCTCTTTAATAACATGTGATCTATATACTGATCACTGTATGTATATATATATCTTAGGGATCCACCGATACCAATACTAGTAGTTAATGGGACTTCAGGTATCGGTATTCGGTATCGGCGAGTACCGGAAAAACAATATCGGTACTCGTACTCGATACCGAAATACCGATATCAGTGCATCCGTAATATATATATTTATTTATTGTTTCTTTGTTTCTCAAGCCCTGATGGAGAGGGCGGAGTTACAGCTCCGAAATGTGTTGTCTTTATAGATAGTCCA